TTTGTATTTATTTTTACATATTTTTATTTTTGTTACTGTTGGGGGGGCTACGGTGAAATATCTGGGGTCTAAACAGACCCCTGACATTTCCCTTTTAAAATAGAAATACAAAGTCCTCAATATCTTTTTCTGCAGCCTCAGCACTCAATGAATGGTAAACACTCAGTACAGAGGCTTCCTATTCATTCAGACACTGTTGATAGTAAAATATTTACTATCACCAGTTTCTGAATGAGGAGGAGCCTCTGTAGTGAGTGCTTCTCCCCATTGAGAAATTCATGAATAAACAGGAAGTGATGTAAATCACATCCTGTTCATTCATAACTGGGGACACATAGTACTATGTGTCCCCAGTTATTTACAAACATTGGAGTGATCAGACGATCACTCCAGTGTTAGTTCTGCACAGAGGATCGGTAAATATCACTGATATTTACCGATCCTCCGCTCGGCCACGCACACAGCCGCTGTCATCCTGAAAATGACAGGATGACAGCGGCTGCTCTCTAGTTCCCGCTTGGCCGTCCTACTAAAAGCTGCGGCTTCTCTCCTCCCTGCTCGCCCATCCTGACAGCAGGCAGCGCTCACTCCTGCACCTCCCCTCCCCCCCGCAGGCTTCAGCAGACAGTTTCTCCTCGGAACCGAGAACAGCGCTGAAGATGTGTGTGTGTGTATATATACACACACTTTTTATTTTTCTTACCACAGTCTGAAGGAACGCCATGACATCTGAGAAGGGAATATCAAACAGCGAGCAGGACATAGTGTGATTATTTAGCCACTTCAAGTAGTCCTCATTGTTTTGCAGAACACCGCCACACTTTTCATTTGTTTCCAAACGCAGCTTTTCCAGACATTCTTCCATGCTGATAGAAGAAAAAACAATTCACAGAAAGAGTGTAATAAAAGTTGCATTACTTTAACGGAGGGGTCTTTCTTAGAGTTGAACTGCAGGTAAACAGCTAATTACACAATGTAGTAATAACTGTATTATATCAGATTAAAAGAGACATGATACTAGGTTTTACCTACTGTGCTCCACAGGTAAAATCGGATATTGTTTATTCCAAGCAAACGCTTGTTATTGTGGTGTTATTTGCTACATGGCATTCAGTAAGGAATAGCTCATGTGGATTATTTTCCTTTTCTTAAAATAATATAGGTGAGTGTGTGTTCATGTTCAGTATAGCAACTTCAACATTAAAGAATAAAACCCATACAATTTTTTTTTTTTAAGGATGACCAATTTTAACATGAAGCGATGGCCTCTTCAAAATGAATTAAGGGTGGGTGGCCTGGAATACACTATAGAGAAAGGTGAAGAAAAGACCTTTTCAAGAAACCTCCAAGCATGAGTGAGTTCAAAATGAAGTGTAGTGAAACGAATATCTTCTCATTATCAAACAGCCTTTTCATGATGGCTGAGCACTTTCATGAAAAAGAATACCTCGCTGCCTGTGGCCCATTCAGTTTGCGGACAGGACAGCCCCAGTTGTGATCAGCGGTTCTAAGAATGACAAAAGATTGGCATGTATCTTCTTAACTTGTGTAAACTCTTCTCAGGACTGAGAAATATGATGCGCTATCTATACACCTTTGCTCTAGGGACTCCATTAAAAAAAAAGGCTTCTATTGTGGTATCGTGAAGTATCTCATTCAGGGAAACCTAACAGATTACAGTGCAGGGAATTGTATAGGCTTTACTGCCGGGAGCCTACATAAATCTACTTCAATTAGGAATCCTCTATACAACTAATCTCTGACATCAAATCTGAATGTCTGCCAAAAACTATGAGCTGTGAATAGGCTGAAGTTTTCAAAAGGACACGATACTTTAGTAATTTGTCTCAACACCAACTATAGCCTATAGAAAACAAATACTGACATAGCTGTTTCGCAGATTGCCAGAATCCCTAATTGATTTATATGCATATTTGACAGGACCATCTCTGGCAGTAGCTTCCAATATGTTCTCAGATGAAAAATCTTGAACGTGATTGCATTTATCGGAGTGATGGTTTAACCGCTCAGGATCCTTTCACATTTGAGGTTTTATACTCAGTTAGCAAGCCGTATTCAATATATTGTCATACATTTTTCACACAATTCTATTCATTTCTCAACATTCTATTCAATTCTGAACATTCAAAATAGCTATGGTGTACCACAAAGCCGTACATCTCAGGAGACTGGTTGACTGTTTTGCAACACGGATCACAAACTTTGGATGGGTCTGGAACAGGATACTTGTGAGCTTCCCCTGCTGGAAATTCCCTGGATGGTACTTACTGATGTATTTTAATGATAAGGGTACTTTTGTACAAGTATCCTTTAACTGACCCACCTGAGCACCCCCTTTCAAAGTCTTATATGCACCTGTACATATTTCTGCCAGACCTCTGCTCTGCGGCCCACTGGGAGCCACACAGCTGCCAATACAATGTCTACAGGCCATGCAGCTTCTTCTGTGACCACCACTGGTATGCATAGTAGGTGGCCTCTGCTTGAGTATGACACACAGTTGGACACACAGAGGCAATATGGGAGGAATGTGGACAGATTGGTACAAGACTATGGGGGTGTGCTGAGGTGGAAGGGGTCAGTTAATGTCAAACACAGTTATCCTTTAAGTCACACAGGATTAGTGGTTAATTTAATTCAGTCAGGTTCTAAAGTAGGGTACGATGAACTGACAAAGCCCCAAGTAGTCAACGTTTCCTGCCTGATGGCTCCACCATCAGCCACCTGAGAGCTAAAGGAAATGCTGGATTAAATCATTATCTTATTATAATTGCGGTTCTGCTAAAAGACATTGAGGCTGCACTTTAAAAGGGAAAGCCGGCAAGTACTGAATGAAAGTTTTGTGATTTAGGACCTCAAGTGATATTGTACCAAGCGTAGAGGATACCGCTGCTATTATTAAATCAACACTAACCCTCACTACCAAACAGCCAGGTGATGGACTGTACCCACTGTCTATGAAAACGGTGTGTGGTGATTTGGGAAGTGGTGCAATTACATTGTTAATAAATGATTTTGTATTTCTCTGAGGGTCTGAAGTAACTTCTTTACCCTGTACATTGCCTTATGCACAGGTATTTGTCCTTTTTTGTATATATGCTTCATAGTTACAGACTGGGTCCTATCTATTATGGTGGTATCTGCAACCACGGTTTACAAACGCAAGATCTAATAGGTTTCTACGGGGAATCTCTAATCTTTTCTGGTCTAAAGTTAGAATTTCAAATGAAAGAAATTGATTTTGGAACGTTCATTCTACTTTCTAATTGTTGATGCGCTGACATCAATGATCGATTTTGACCGTAAAAGGTGAAAAAATTTGAAGGACCATGGTGGAAACTTTTTCTTGGTGGACATTGGATGTGGTTTTCGTTCAGAAAACGCCATTCATTCATTCTGGAATCAAATGAAAACGAAAATCAAAAGGAAATTTCCAACGACAAATCGCCAAGCCTCTGATGGTATTATCAATCGTTCCGACTGGATATTTTGGACGAATGTTCATGTGAAAATCTACCCCTGTATATCCTACTTTACTTGCTTTTAATCAGCTATAGTACCTGTGTAATTCATATATGTCAATAATTAGGCTCGAATTTTAAGCTACATTAAACCAGCAGCCCTAATGATCCCTATATTATTATTTTTTTAACTCTCTGCCATTTACTAAATAAAAATTGCCAATCTAAATACCCCTAATGATTTTTCTAAATCTGCCCAATTTCCCTTTCCTCTCTTCTCAGTGGGTGAAGATTGCACAGAGGTCTTACTGACGTAAATGAGGTAGGAAGGAGCAGTAGAGGAACACAGAAAATATGCAGCAGTGCTACCCTACAGGACCCAACAAGGCTGTAATGGAGTCAGCCATTTCAATAGTAGCTGAATAGCATTGTTAGCCCAGGGCCAGAAAGACTGTTATTATGAGGGTAATGGACAGATCAACAGGTAATTTCTTTGCAAACCCTTATGCTTTGTTAAATGATCATATATACCATGTGCATATTTTATTAGAAACTTGCATTAGGATCTCTTTTATTTTACCCTGGAGAGACACTTAAAAAGGAGGAGAAAATGTGTAAAAATTAAGTCAAGGCAACTGGACTTACTGTATTTTTCTTGAAGACGTTTCACTGGACATCCGACCAGCTTTCTCAATTCTGAATGGAGAAAGCTGGTTGGATGACCAGTGAAACATCTTCAAGAAAAATACAGCAAGTCCAGTTGCCTTGACTTAATTTTTACAGATATACCATGACCTGGATGAATGAGAACATTCACAGAGGAGAAGGAGAAAAAGTAAACATAACTGAGAAAGAAAGGAGTACACCATATGCATGTTACTGATAGAAAAAATAAGAAGTGGGTTTAAAAAGGAACTCCAGGAAAATGTGTTTTATTAACCCTTGCTGTGGGGCTACCCCTGCCCTGCATGGGTTATCTGCTCATTTGTGTCTAGGTTAAAAATAAAAAATTAAAATAACTCATCCAAAGCCAGCTTCTTAAACCGGTCCCTGAAATGTCTCTTCCCCTCCTCTACAGCGGTCTAATCTTCAGTAAATCATCACGTCTATACATTGTGCATAGACATGAGGATGCTGAGGAACATTCCAATCTGCTGCAGGGGGGAGGCAGGCTGGAGCGAGAGAGCTGCAACAACTGGCCAGCTCTGGACTTTGGGTAGAGTAAATCTTTGTTATTTTAGCACCTAGACACAAATGAACATTTAACCCTTACAGTGCGGGGGTAGCCCATTGCAAGGGTTAATAAAATAAATGCCTGGAGTTCTGCTTTAAATCAGATACAAGAAAATAAGGGGCTGACTAAAGGTGCCAATTAACCCGACTTTCATGAAAATCTTTTGCTGCAGAATTTTCTTACAGTTCCCACAACATGAACACCCGCAGCAGGAACATTTTAACTTTTCCTAAACTCAAAAGCGGAAGGCTGCCTCCATTAGTTGTGGGGTCTTAACAGCTTGCACTATGAGATGAGCTGGGGGCATTCCTCAGCACTGACAAAGCGGAGGTCTGGAAGCATTATACCTCAGCCGGCTCCTGCTGAAATTATTTTCACATTTGCATTTATTTTATTTGTTTTAATGTTTGTGTTTAATGACCATTTGTTTTGTAACTATGAGCAATACTTTAACAATGTAAAACACTTTTATTTTCCATACCATATGCAAGTTTGTAGTCTCCTGTTTTTCAAACATAATACAATTTTTTTTTTAATGTTTCTATAAGATCGAAAAAAAAATGCAATATGAAAAAGAACAAGCACAAGCAACTACTGAAAAACTGTCATGCTTTTGTAAAACTTAAAATAGTATTAAACTCCGATTGTTTTTTTATAATGAATCCAAAGCAAACTATACATTGCTCATACATTGTAGAGACACACAGCTTACTGAAAGCATTTTGTACACAGTGTACATAATGCCCCCAAAAATGTATTTTTCTGCTTGACTCACCCAGAAGTCTGCAGTAGTGAATTTTAAAAATTCACTGCAAAAATAACTAATTTTTGCTGAGATACTCCCCTAAAGTTAACTATTTCTAAAGGGGATGCAGGCATTGCAACCTCCCTTGACAGAACACTGAAAGGGTACCAGATGGCTAAAATGTACTCGACCCTCCCATTCAGGAATCAGTTTGTAAAAGACATTGTGAAACAAACAGCTTTCTCTTCACATAAAAAAAGGTGGAAATCTGCAGCAAAGTTTGTTAAAATCTTTGAACTGTTTCATCCGGAGGGGCATGCTTTTTTCTCTCAACAGAACCAGACTTTTTAAGTCAAGAGACACTAATCTACTCTGATCCGTCTTTTAATGGCTTGTTCACACCACAACAGTGCGTTCCAGCACGGTTAGTGGATGGAACACATAATTAAGCCTCTCTGCATTCCGGGGGGAGGGGGCATGGTGGTGCCATTCAAGTCAATGGCACCGCAGCCATACCTCCCGCCCGCAGTGTGATCCCAAAAAATAATGCATGCACACGTCAGCTCCAACTATGGGGATGAGTGCATTTAACTTTCCCCATCATTCTCCTTTAATGTATATAATGCTTTTATACTTTACTTCAATATCAAATCACAAATAGAAGATGATGTCATTATCATATAAAATACACAAATGAAAAAAAACAAAAAACAACAGGAGGTGGTTTTAAGATAATTCTCAATCATATAATCCATGCAACATCATCGCCTTGACTGAACCCCTGCATTCTACTGACTTGTGCTGTGATCACTAAACAATGCTGTTGTAGTTGTCCCCGATTGATCGGCACAATGAACAGATTGTGGTAACAAGTGATTATATACAGTCAACACCCAGTTAACTGTAGTTTCTGGTTGCTTGAGAATTGATAGTAACTCTCAAGCAAACATCTCTCAGGTCCGCTCCTGTGCTAAGTGGGTGGGTGCAATAGCCAGCCTGCTATTGCAATTTGAAATAGCCAGTAGCAGACTGGAGAGAGAGGGGAGAGAAGAGAAGAGAAGAGAGGGGAGAGAAGAGAGGGGAGAGAAGAGAGAGAGAGAAGAGAAGTGAAGAGCAGAGAAGAGAAGTGAAGAAGAGCGAAGAGAAGTGAAGAGGAAAGGAGAGAAGAGAATAGAAGTGAAGAGGAGAGGAGAGGAAAGAGAAGTGAAGAGAGGAGGTGAGGATAGAGGAGAGCGGAGAGAGGAGAGAAGTGAAGAGGAGAGAGGGGGAGAAAAAAAATGAAGAGAAGAGAGGGTTAGAGAAGAGAACAGTAGAGGAGGGAAGTGGAAAAGAGAAGAAAATAGAACAGAAGGGGAGAGAAGAGAAGAGAGGGGAGAGAAGAGAAGAGAGGGGAGAGAAGAGAAGAGAGGGGAGAGAAGAGAAGAGAGGGGAGAGAAGAGAGTTCTCCCTCAGGTCAGGTAGTTATTGCAATTTGAAATAGCCAATTGCAGACTGACTATTGCTCCCCACTGCTTACATAGCTGCCAGCTGGTAGCAAGATGTAAACAAAGAATTTCCTTAGCAACTAAATAAAAATGTAGTTGCTAAGGAAACTGTTTAGTTTGCACCAAGCAACCAACAATTTTTTAGTGTGCATCAAGCCACCGGTGGAGAACAATATGACCTCCATTGTTTTTTGCCAGTTACTTGAGAGTGCTTGTTGCTTGAATGCCGGATAATGGGGAGATAACTGCAGCAATCACAAGGAAGCAGTGTCATGAGGTCATCCTATCAACTGCATGTGAATTTTGCTCCCACAACTGAAAATCACCATCACCAACAGATGACTAATCATAATCAGTCATCTGTTTAGTTTGGACCAGAAGACGTTTATGCCCAGATAAATGGCAATGTAACAGACTGCCATGAGCACCACGGACTGGTGCTTAGGCCTCTTTCATATATGAGATTCATAACCACAACAGTTATGTTGTCAAGAAACACAATTCCTCAATTCAAATATTTACATTAAAATAACTAAAGAACAAATCAGAACATGTTTACATTACCATAAAGAATTCTCTTTTAGCTTCTCATCAATGTCTGTAAGGATCTGCTGACACTCCAAATGTCCTGGAAACATATCCAATGCAGAATCCAACAGGGCACAGCTTAACGGATCTTCACAAACAGATTCCATACTGATATCTGCAAGAATAAAAGCAAGATTAGCCAGGAAAATATATTCTTTTTTTAAATTCTTTATTTATAGACAAAAAGGGTGGGGTACATTGAAAGGGAGAACATGCGGAGACCACATGGTCTCGCAAAATGTTTAAATAACAGACAGTGAGGCATATATTATAAACTCGGTAACAGGTTGTAAGATCAGGTCAGGTAACCGTATTTGCCCCCGCCCTTAAGTCATTTTATGGTGAACAGAAATAAACCAACACACAAAAACAAAATAAGAAGGGAACAACAAGTTGGGGCGGGTGGTCGGGTATAGCCCCACTAAATGGGAGGCCAGCCCGAGCACGGTCACCTCCAAACATCACATACGCAGACAGAGACAAACACTGACTCACAGAGATAAAGCAGAAAGAAACGTAGAAAGATTGGAAATTACAGTGAAGATTGCAGTCCTGCTCCCCGGTGGCCCCAAGCCGCCTCACCCCCAGTGCACATATACCCCCCACAATTTGGGTGGTATAGTTGGGCAGCGCCTCAGTCTCCAGCATCCTCCCTGCACACTGTATTGAAAGCAGCTGAGCCCCTGAATTGGACCCAAGCTCCCCAGGTAGCCACATACCTAGACTGCAACTCCCGTAAACTGGAGGTTAAATCCTCCATCAGTCTAATCTCCTCCACCCTCCTTACCCACATAGTTATGGAAGGAGAGCGGGTTTGTCTCCACAAAGCAGGTATGCAGGCTCTAGCTGCGTTCAGCAGGTGAATCAGCAGCGAGTGTTTATGTGCCTTCCGAGAAAGCGGTGCCAGGTGGAGAAGATAGACCGATGGGGTGAAGGGCAGCACGTGTCCCGTGATATCCGCTATTGTAGAGGCAATGCTGACCCAGAGCGGTTGAACTTTCGGGCAGTCCCAAAAGACATGTATTAGGGAGCCCATCCCTGTTTCGCAACACCAACACAACTGAGAGACCGATGGGTACATAACATGAAGGGTAGTGGGCACCCTGTACCACCTGGTTAAGAGCTTATACCCAACTTCCGGCCCCCTTTTTCCCGGGCCGGAAAATATATTCCAATACAAAATCCTATACTAGCGCTACAAAAGGTTACATGCTAATATGGCAATTATCCCAATTTCAAACAAAACAACATAGCTTCAGTTTACAAACAAATAACCTATTACAATGTCAGATGCATTTTCACCCCACTATTTAATCTTCAGGCCTTCTTCTAACCACAAGATACTTAATGCAAATTAATCATTTTACAGGGACCCAGAACTACATACAATATAAAATCAAATGCATACATAAAACACTTGCTGCATTATCTTTGTGGTTTACCTATTGCCTTTGCTGCAGATTTGTAATCTAGCCATTGGATTGACTTAACAATGAAATGTAGCATACAGAACATGTCTCTCTTACCACAGGCCTGTTAACTAGTATATACTATGCACTGGAAAATGACAGAATGAAAGTTGACAAGCAATACGTTTGTATGAGACATTTTGGGCTGCTCGTCTCTTAGAGACATCCCTGCAGTTTAATGTTATGGTTCAGGTTGTTTTATACAGAGTAGAGAAATGTAGATAGCATTGATGTCCCCAAGTAACATGATTCTTGTGGGTAATTTATTTTTTTGAATGCAATAATTTGGACCTAAAAGAACCAAACCCCATTATACAGATAGTAACTAAATGCACCCAGCCCCTCTGCCAGGTACACAAAGGAACCAATTAAACCCAATTCAGCTGCCAGGTAAACACAGCAATCTAATGTACCCTACCCCACTGCCAGGTAAACACAGCAATCTAATGTACCCAACCCCACTGCCAGATATCCACACCAGCCATTGTTCCCATCCCCATAGCCAATAGTGAAATTGAGTCCCATCCTGCACTGGGACCCCAAGTGCCAGAGAATAAGGACGGCGTGCACAGCAGCAGAAGCACTGCAGACAAAATGAGAAGGTAGCAAGTACACAAGGTTAGTTGTAAATGAACCCATGCTTTACACCAAACACGTTTCAATGGCGCACTGTGACCCCTTTAACAAGGTGTTACTACTTTTTCGTGCAGCGACATGGAGGGAGTAAT